AAACTTGTATTTCTTTCACTTTACTGATGAAGGCCATACAATATTTCTCTATCTTTCCTGTATCCTCCACAAGCTGCTAAAGACATCACAGAGCATTTTCTCAGTATTTATGAGGTTGGAGAGGCAGGAATAATTTGGCACTTGAAGCTTGGTTTGTGTAATAGCACAGCTCCGTTTCAGATTTGATCAGTACCTCAGAAAGAACTGGAGAAGGTAAAGACCAAAGTCCCCATCGCAGGTTGTGGTCACATTTCAACTTGACATTTTTGTCAAGATATTATCCGTCTTCTGAGACATACTAACCACTGTGGAGGCAGCATGATACCCTCCCTGCAAGCAGACAGCACATGAATTAATGCCAGCTGCACCTGACTTCTTACCACCAGCAGACAAAGCTTCCAGGTCTGAGTACAGACAGTTCCATATATTTACATCAGCACAAGTCATCTTCCACTCGGGTTTGCCGGAGGAGAGTGTTCACCCTTTACTGCTCAGTCTAATTACTGACTCAGACTAATAGCTCATTACTGATTCAAATTGCTCAGTCTACCAGCTGCACAACTAGGCCATTAACATTTTCTAGAGGTAAGACTTTTGGAAGCCAGCAGGAAGAGGGCCACAGAATGGGCCAACTTGCTCACAATTGCAGCAGAGAATTTCCCTGCCATGAAGCCTGCCTTTAAGCCCATCTCTCAGTTCAACCCACAAAAAGGAACCCAATTCTAGATGTTTAATTGACAGGAATTTTAAGTTGTTAGTCTTGGGTTCCTCAAATTGCTTCAGTGTTTTCTTGCAGGCTGCAAACTCATTGGGCAAAGCTTTTTCCAACTCCATACAAGAGTCATGTCTACATGTGAGATAGTAAGCATAAAACAAGTTCAACGCAGGCTTTGCCTTCTGTGGGGTCATCAGAGCTTACATTTCACCAACATCAATGTACCTGCCCCAGGTTCAGGGAATTTCAAATGCTATTGCCAACTTTTGCAACAGGGAAAGATAACAAGTCAAAACAGGCCTGGAACTTTATGCACTGCAAGAGACTTTAAGAAAAAGAGAGTTCATACCACTCAAGACTCTTCATGACTGACACTGACAGTTTATCCAGCCCATATTTACTCTGTACTTGCATCATCTTTTAATCCCAGATTATAGAATCAAGCCTCCTCTCCCATTTCCTTCATTTGGTTGATTTAAAAGTGGTATCAACACCTCTCACAGTATCCAGAACAGTTAACAACCACTAACAAACCAGAATCCCCACCTAATTTTTTTTCCTCTTCACTCACTTCCAACCTCTTTACTTTTAACTCAGTTTCCAGTTTTAAGAAGGAAGACCAAGTGACCTTATGGAGATAAACAATGACACAGCTGCTTTTTACCTCCCTCTGTCTCCTGACCAGCCTACTTTTTAAACCTGCCTGATGACTGCAAAAGACACCACTCATGGCTGCAATATGCCAAATCTGTAGCTCTGAGCTCCTAAAGTCCCAGCATTCCTCATATAAAGAAAATAAATGTTCTATTTTGGTTTGTATTTGCTTGTTTTGTTTCAAACGTGTGGCACAATTTCCCTTTGGCTGGAAAGGAACATTCTGCATTCTTTAGGCAGGGAAGAAATCCAGTCTTGTTGGCTCCAAGGATGCCTTTCACTGCTTCTTAAAACATTAACAACCTCCCAATGGGAGAGAAGGGGGAGATCCAGCCTTCTAAGGGACAGCATGCATCTTCCAAGTCTCTCAGGCCTTTCAAACTAAGCAGCAACTGGAGTAAATCAATGCAAGACACTCCTTAGGAGAAAGTATTGTACAAGGAACAAGCTGGAATAAGGAACAGACAGCAATAGAAATCTGCCGGTTCTGGATAGCCTAATCCCACCCAAGAGTAACTGCATACCCTGAGTAAGGTCTTAGAAACTTGTTCTTCACTTGCAGGCCGAATTCAGCATAGAAAGAACAGTGGCAAATGTCTGAGCTGCAAAGTCCACACACCAAGCATGCCCTGGAAAACCTGGGTTTCTGCTCCACCTCCTACAAGCATGCCTCCATCTCTCCAGCCCCAGGTCTGCTCTGCCTTCCAGCCACAGAGCACTTTGCAGACACAGAACAAATCAATATATCCTATTTTAAACTTTTAAGTTTGGTGCCAATTTTATTTGATTTAAATTACCTTACAGGGCAAATTGTACAAGTAACTGGCATCGCACCATACAGCAACAACTGCAATGTAAACACGGGCAACCAGAGCATGGGATTTAAAAATAAAAAAGATTTCTTGCCAGCACTCTTGCCTGTTCTCTGCAGAAAGCTCCACAGAGCCACTTCTGGAACTACATGCCAAGCCACATGACCATAAACCCATTTCATTTTCTTTTCATCAGTAGTGAGAGGGCCTGCGAGTAGAAATCAGATGTTACCTCACATCTGGTGACCCATCATACCTACTGATCCCCAGAAATTAGGGGTAAACAGGACAGAAAAGAGGCCAAAACATTTGGAGAAAGTTATTACCGATAACCAGTCTTTTTCTCCTTCCAACATTGTCTCTTCTAAGGGAGAGTTAACATACTAATAAAGTCTTCATTTATTACCCAACAGCTTAAGCCTACCCATCTGTACTATTTCTGAGTCAGAGAAGCCTCCATCCAAAAAACTATTTTGCCCTGAAGACTTGAAAGGCACCAGCATCACACAAAGTTTATTAGCTCCATATTTTATATTCCTGTATGAATGGGACAAAAGAAATCACTGTGAAAGTCTTAGCTATTCCTTTTCCTCCTGAGAGCGCCTATTCTGTGCCAGATAATGTTCTTTGACTCAGAGACCCTCATCCAGGGATGGAAAGGAGTCTGCTGTGCAGTGGGAAAAGTCCAAAAGCTCCCAAGTCAGATGGCAGTTGCCCAAAGTGATGTCAATTTTCCATGATGTGGCTTTACAACAGAAAGGTCATCACTGACCCAGGTCCTGCTGGACTCCTCTTCATCCTGCCCTTTTTTGTCTTCTTGCAAAGGGCAATCTTTGCAGAAAGAGTCTGAATGCTCAGATAGAACGGATAGTTATAATGCATGCTGGCTAGCCATCAGCCTTCAGAGAAGCCAGACCTCCAGCAACCACCTTGCTTCAAGGAAGCCAGGCTGCTCTTTGTTCCAGTATCAGGTCCTGTTGTAAGGAGGTTGGAATTTTGAGTCAAGGTAAATTAAGTAAAAAAAACCCACACCCATAAGAAAGACAAATTCATTTTTAGATTAGGCATTCATCACTAGCTGAAAAAGTAATGCTATTTCCATCAAATTTTGAACCAAATTATTTCAACTTCTAAAAGCCCTCTTGATTTTAAAAGACCTATTTCATAATTGTTCACAAGGATTTTTCTAATATGATGGAGAAAAGCCAAAGTGGCTTATGCAGAGGCTTCAACAGATATGAACAGATTCAGAATGGGAGGGGACAGAAGTTTATGTGACTGCTTGAAGCATGCTGGCCCAAAGAGAAACATTTTCCTTTTCTTGACAGCTACTGCACAGGATCTTTCTGCAGCCACATGACCAAACGTACCATTCTTGAAACAGGATGCTACAGGTAGCACCAAGGAGAATCAATTTATATTACAAATTTTAGATTAATTAATTGCATTTGGAGGGGTTTGGGTTTTTTTATGTTCCAACCTCTGAGTTAAAAGGAGTGAAATGGGAAAGACAAGTTCAGATGTTTTCCCTTTTTGCTCCTGTTTCTTAGGATGTCATCTACTTCAAATTCTAGAAGAACAGACTAGGACTAGTCAAGGTAGGAAGCCTACAAACAACCTCCACTCAAAAATAATGCAGAGTTCAAGAGCTACTTGATTGCTTGTACTTCAAGCTAGACTAGCAATGATTGCATTAAAAGAATAACAACAACGTGTTCAGGTACCAATTATACATTAACATGCAATTTTTACATGTTTACAGAGACATAGCCTTATCTAAAATAAGGAGAGGGTTCAGCATTCAGTCTTAAGTAGTTCTCCTTGTATCTTTCTTCTCCCTACCTTCTCCTAAGCTACTATATACACCCAATAGACTGGAGAGCAGATATGCTCAAAATGTATCCCTGCTCTAAACATAGCAAGCCATAATTTCTGTTAAGTGTTTTCAGGACTGAATTGACAGCCCCAGCATGGAAGCTGTTCTTCAAAACAAAGTGTTGGCATCAAGGTTGGCATTTTCCTGCATTTTGAAGTGTTGGGAATAATTAATTTAGAGAGTTGGCAGTAAAAATCCTGTTTCAGATATCAGAACACAAAACTTATCCCAGGAAACAGCCTTCATCCTCACCAGCAGGGGTGAGGATGCATTCAGCACTGTTTTCCTGTAGCAAGGCAACAAACTCAAAATTTGACTCTGAATAGCAGGTAGAGGGCAGGCAGAAGGGCTGAAAATCAGGGTATGGAGAAGGCCTAAAGACAAACTTCACTGCTCCTCAATGTATACTCCAATGGTCACCCCTCGCAAGACTATTTCAACGAATGAAAATCAGAGGACAGAGAAGGGCTACGAATACACAGAGAACAAATCTAGTGCCTTTCTCAGGAAAAGCAAGGACTGAAGAAAGGAGTGTAAAGGAGGACCAATGCCTGATGCATAAAAGAATGAGGTTTCCAAGCATAGCCAGGCTTTAGTCCAGCACTGCTCCAGCTGGTCAGAGAGTTTTACTGCAAAACGTTAAGTAGTTAACTTCAAGGTGAACAAGCAGAGGTTATTCTGTGCCCGCCACTCCTTTGTGAAGCTCTGCTTTCATCTATTACATCTCAGCTGAAGAGCACAGAGCAGAGCACACCATTTTCTACTCCACAGGGTGATGCATGAACAGACTGTCATCTTATTCCTTCTACTGAACAGGGAGGTCTAAAGGCACATAAGCCTCCCACATGCTGAGCTGGTTAGGAACCCTGGTTCTGAGCTAGCCCAAGTAACTTGGCTGAGCAGCTGCTCAAAATAAGTTGCTGAAGCACAGGACTCCACTCACCTTTCCTTCCTGAATTACCCTGGCTTGATGGTTTATCAGTTACAGAACCTGAATGGGAGGAAAAAGAAAAAATATATTTATTTAGATGCTGCATGATCACACAGAACATGTAATGTCACATTAATATAGTCAACATCTCAACCCACAAAGTGTCTGTTTTACTTGCTAACAGATCAGATTAGGATCCAGAGAGCCTGTGGCTTCAGCCAACTGGGACAGCATAATGAGGTTTTACGTGTTAAGATGTTAAATCAGGATGAAGGTAAACAAGAAATCTTTAGTAGCTGGATCCAGTGATTTGAAATAGCTCAACAGAACAGTGTGCTAGTAAGAAACCTGGAATAAATCCAAGGGCAAGAAGGAAAGATCAGTAATAGTCACTTCTTTCATTTGCAAATGACAGGAAGAACAAATCAAAAACAGGTGGGGAAAGTGTGCAGGGAATGCAAGGGCAGTATTCAAAAGGAAAGGGATTAAGTGGGAAAATTTGCAGAAAATGGATTTCAACCAACCCCTGAACATCCTCAGCTGTTTGAAAAGGGACACTGAATAGGATCCAACATGGTCTCAAACAGAACACATCTCAGGTTTTTTAGTATAACCTAGATCACATAGTATCTATGATTCCACACCTATTTCTGCAGTTTGCTTTAGTGTTTCATCACACAGTTTTCCAATAAAACTTGAACTGATAATAAAAGCTTTTTGAACAAATCCATTACACCAAAGCATGTAAAAATCTATAACAAGCTTTTTTTTTTTTAATAGATTTATTCCCAGGAAACTGATTCTTCCATGCCCCATTACTAAACAGTTCCAGTGATTACTGATCCTTTAGGAAACCTGGATCAAAAGTCAGCTCCAAAGGAGGCAGCTCTGCCAGGCTCGAGTCTGGTCAAGACAAACTCTAAACAAACTCTACTGCCCAGGCACTTTCACTTGTAGATCTGTTCATTACAGATCTACTGCTGAATTACATGTAGGATTCAAAGCCTGCCTGGACGCGTTCCTGTGTGATCTACTCTGCTCTGGCAGGGGGGTTGGACTACATGATCTTTCAAGGTCCTTTCAAACCCCTAACTTTCTGTGATCCTGTGAAGCACATACGCAGTATTAAGTCATCATCTGTGTGTCCTACAATACACCATGACTTTACTTTCCTGGTAATGCAATTTTGTAAACAGCCCATGACTAAACGAATAGATCAGCAAAACTCTAAAACATGCCCTACCAAAGCCATATACTGGAAATGGTGGAAGAAAGTCATATTCAAAGGTTTAAGCCAACTTACTGTAGCATTTCACCTTACACTAAAACAGGATATTAATCTCATTTTCTTTCCACATACCTGTGAAACGCCAAGCACCCCCTCAAGCTACATTGACTCACTGGTTCCCAGATAGTTCTCCCACTCAACTCAAACCCTCATGCAAGTCACTATGTTTGCTTATTACCCTAAAACACCCTAGAGCCAAGAGGACACTGAATAAGGTGAGAAGGATTAAAAAAAAAACAAACCTAAAGCTTTGAATGCTGTCATGCTCCCATCTAAAGGGCAAACATTGCAAGCTGTGAGAGAAATACATTATCCCATGGGGTGCAGATTGCAGAGCATGAAGCCAGAGGCAGCAACACATACATGGTACCACTGAACATGTTAGAAACACACTCCTATGCTTACTGTCTTCTCTTTTTTTGGAGGGGGGGGAAGTGGGCAGCACAATTCTAGTGCTGCCCCTCAATTCTCCCAAACAGCACAGAACAGCTGCCCTCCCCTCCCTGTTCCTAGGGAACAACAGGGAGCTGTCACAACAGCTCTGTTCACCTCAGCTCACAAAGCTAGACTATACAATAGGGATCAGGGCCATATGACAATCTAAAGCCCAATCTCCTCCTACTTGAGCTATGAGCTGCCATATTGAACGGTGGGGAGAAAAGAGACAAATGGCATCACTCAGTTTCAAGTACAGAAAATAATGATTTGGGCCCAGTAAACCATAGGGTGACAAAGCAGTGTCAGGCCAAGTGCCCAGAAGCATATCACTTAATAGTGACTGTCATGAGTAACAGCCTGGCTCTGGACCTCCCTCTTGGGAGCTGGGGTACAAGCCCAGTGCTGTTCAGCCCCATGACACAAACATGGCGATCCTGGAACTGAGGAATATGGTCAGAAGACCCAAACCTATAACAGCAGGATCCCAGATCTGGGGGTTAGTAGTCAACAACTACCAGTTTCTCACAGAACCACCTTATTACCAAACTTTTAACTGAAGTCACTCTGAAGGCAAAATGACTCCATGGCTCACTAAATACAGCCCCAGAATCACTTTAAAATACACCTCCTGGAAAAAAGTTATCCCATCTGTTAGGGGAATATCTGGTTTTGGTGTACACAGCAACACTGTGACTTGGCTACCACAGGCTGTAACCTTAGTGGTTTTTCCTCAGTGAGCCTTGTGGTGTCTGTACCCTAACTGCACGGTGGCTGTGCCACAGGCCAAGCTCCCTTGCAGCTTCCCAATGCCAGCAAACACACAGGGAGATAAGCACAACCACAGTGTTAAATCGGGTAAACTGGCCAAGTCACCTGAAACAGTTACACACTCTCAACAGGATACATTCTCCCCAGCCCCCTTTGGTTATCAAATTAGTATTTGTTGAAGCCACTCCCACAGTACCTGAACATACAGGAGTTTTGTTCTGCACAGAAGAGCCACTAATAGGCTTGCCATCAGGCGTCACACACCAGCAGTATCCAGTGTAGGTATGGCACTGCACCTGTTTAATAAAACAAAGAGCAGGCATTTCATTTCTTACTCTATCACCCACCACTTTTATTATAATGCAGCATCATAGTGGACGTCCCAACCCAGGCACATCACAAACATGCTTCAGAGTGAGGAGGTCACACAAGAGTGTGATATAGTTATCTTTTTTTTCTCCCCGCACCTCCTTCCCTGAAGAAAGGTTATTTCTCCTACTCCAGCTCCTTTAGCTGCAATTCAAGAGGCAAAAGATACAAGTCAGCTGAGAACACATCAGTCTGGGGATGCAGCAATTGTGTCGCTCATTCCACCCTCTGCTAAATCCCATTTACTATTTACCATTAAATAGTTGTCCCACTGCATCCCAGTTGGGATGTTGAAAGACCATCCTGGCCCAATTCCACAGCCACTGCTTGACAACAGCATCTGAGGGTGTTTCAAGAGCATTTTGTTCAGTAAACACAGAAAAATGCAACACTGACTTGTTATGTTAAAAACCTTCCTGAGACAGATTTAAGCTCTCTCCTGTTACTATGTCAACCTCAGCTGGAGGAACAAAAACCAACATGCTTGCTCTTCATGTATTGACAAGGACTTAAGAATATTTGATGAAGGCTCTAATGACCCAAAAGGTACACAGCATAAGATGTATCTTGCTTAACCTTTAAAGCTCTACTTCGAACATCTGGAGTAACCCAGTTCGTTCCTTCACCAGAACGACTAGTTCAGATGTGGACCTCTACAGTGAGAACAGATAAATCCCAGTCTAGCAGACTAGTCTAAGTAACTTCTATACAGATAATAGTTCATTGGCACTATAGTTTCATCCAGCTTAACAAATCTAATTACAGCCTTTGCCTCAGCTTTCACAGAGTGGTCAGCATTTGGGTGAAATTTGGGATGCCTTTGACTTCCCTTGAAACAAAAGTAAATGATCATCATACAGACATTGTGCAAATACAAACAGGTTCCAAAATCCTTTCTAGCAAACGCTTTCAGTTGTGGCTGAATGGGCATATCAGTACTTTCAGCATCTTGAAACAGCGTAGAAATGCCTACGTTACTATAAGCTAGAGATGGCTCCTTCAAAACATTTCTGAAAAAGTCATGAAATGAGATCACTTCAAAAACTGCCTTTTTATTTTATTTGCAAATTGAATTCTGTCCATTCTCTTTTTCCAAAGAGGTGCATTGAAGCCAATTTCCTATTCCATTTCTCTCCACACAGAAGAGTGATGGGGTGTTTGTGCCATTCCCTTCATTAGGGATCCTTCAGAGCTAAACCAGTCATTCCCCCTTGCTGACAGCTGGCTTCGATTCCCTAAGGTAGGGAGTTTATTCAGAGACTTAACGACAGTCTTTTTAAAAGGCTTTGAGTATCACATAAAACATGATCCAAGAGCAATTATAACATAGTACCATGTGTTTATCTTAAGTTTTGCTAAAGTGCAAATCAATCATTTTGCCCCAAGCAAATTCACTTTTAGCAGCCAAAAATCAACAGTAATCTCATGTACCCATTACTAAAGTCACTGTCACTGCTATCTACACATTTTCATTTTTATTCTCTCAATATATCACAAAATTGATTGCAAATTACTCAAAAGCACTATATTATTGAATATAATTAGCAACAGTCAAGTTGCAAAATATTTCTTATTGCTCAATCTAATCGGTTGCACATTCAAAACGAGTGTGGTGGAACTACTTGGGTTTCTGTGTTTATCTTTGCTGACCACACACACATTATTGCATTCCCAACAGCACAACAAGCTGTCTTTACACCTGAGCATTAATTGTAAAAATCAACCAGAGATGAAGCCAAATTCCAGGACAGGGTCTTGAATTTGTAGAGCAAGACCATTCCATGTCACATTACAGAAAAAAATCCAGTGTACCCAGCATTTAAAAAAAATTCAAGTGTTAGTGACTTGACAGTCCTTCAGCCAAGCCTCCAGAAAACAGCGAAGTACATGGCAGAGGAGTCAAAAAAATGTATTGACACAAATTTAGGAGAGATGCAGTAACTAAGAGCATGCTATGCAACTCATCTCAACAGAGAGCTACCAGTTACACACACTTATTTATGCAAGCCAAGCACATTACATCCATAAAAGCAAAGTAATTTTGTAAATAACTACGCTAAGGTATGCTAGTCTTCCTTGGACTGGTATCCCATGACCCCTTCTTCCCCCTGCTGCCATTAAAAAAAATCTCAAATTGACAGCACTTTCACAACCACCTCATGTTCTACTGCAGCACCAAAGGACTTCCCTACCACAGGTAATAGCAGCAATTAAATCCCAAACCTTATCCTAAAGGCCAGACACCCATGCATGAAGAACAGACACTTCAGAAACCTCAAAAATCACTGTAGTTGACTTTCCTAAACATCTTCATGTTGGGAGACACTACCTTTCACCATGATACCTGACCAGGTCTCAGCATATTTAGATAACATAATAGCAGCCTACAGTCTATAGAGTTTGCAGCTTAAAGGTCAGGGGAAAAAAAATTGGTACACTTTTCAGTTATATAGCACAGGTATGGCATTAAAAAATGTAAATGCAACAGCTGATCCACTACCATTTGTAAATACTGCGTGTAAACACAAACTCTAGTGTCAACTATTCCAGAGCACCTACGGTAAGGAATCTTAAAAATTCTTGGGTTTACTTTAAATTTTTCTGATGAGTTTCCAACGATCTTAGGTTACAATTTTTGTTTCTAAATCCATTTAAATCTTCTACTTGAAATTCAACCTCATTCTAATCCTACTCCCATAGTAGCAAGATTTTTAAATACTGTTATACTCAGAAGCGTAACAGTGTAAAAGGGACAACTGTTTACTGCATAGATCTAATCTTCAGTTATTGAGTTAATCTGGGCCCTACCAAAATACATATCAAAAAGCATGTTTGACTTTTTTTGGCACTCACTCTAAGGCTAAGCCTTTTGTCAGAGAAAATACATTATCAAATTTTTATGCAAAATTTAATTGTCTGCTAACTAAGCTGCAGCTACAGAAGGCTTATTACTGCTGGAAATGCACTTGACAGTTTGACATCTCAAATTAACATACACATTAAGTTACATAATAGAGAATCAGAGAAATAAAACCTGCAAATCAGTTGAGGTCTTCCAATAGATTGCCCATTAACACCTACACTTCCAAAAACTGAAGCTGCATTAAAGCCCTGCAAGCACCCAAATCCCTGATCATGCTGGAGGACACTGTTCCTGTTTTTCATGGGCGAGAGAAATGCCATCTGAACTTGCCTTAACTGAAGGATGAAAAGCACAAGGGACAAATCCCACAAAAATTGCTCTGCCACCACTGCCCAAATTAAGAGTGTAGCAGCAGCAGCTCCCATATTCCCCATCATTATGATGTGTGAAATCAAACAGCAGCTAACATACAAGCCACTGACCACATGAATAAACATGCTCTCAGCAAGTTCATTACAGTATGAAAACATGAAAAGCATAGTCACTGGCAGACAACTCTGCCTCTTAATTTCCTGACAGAAAAAGAAGTTACTGTTTGGGTTTCCTCAGTATCCCACTGGCAATGCCAGAATCAGATTCCCAAGCAGTCCAAAGCTTCAACAAGCAAGCAGCAGCATCTCTTTACAGTCATTTGACAAAGAAGGATCAAGGGGTTGTTTCCAAAAGATAAACTGGAAATGGGAGAGAAATTGCATGCACATGTATGGGGGGAGAACAGGGGCAAAGCAGTAATTCTGTGATGGCTGAAACCAGTCTCTACGGAGTCATAGAAAGACAGAGTTTACTATAAGAGGCTTGAGAGCACCTTGGACAAGCACTGGGCCGAGCATAGGAACAGCAACACTCAGACTAGCTCTTCATTGCTGTTCAGATGAAGAGTTTGACAACAGATTCCTGCACCATTGCAAAACAGACAAACATTTCCTAGCTCCTTCCATAGCGGAGGGCAGACCAAGGGAAGAAAAAGACCTCTTCTGCATTCAAAGCAACGCTTCCATGAGAGAAGAAAAAACACATCCAGTTTTTGAATGCCACTGCTGAGAGGGTGAGGGAGACAGCATAGGTACTGCCCACACTCACAGCATGAGGCAAGGCTCCAAATCCTGGCTACACCCAGGTGCTCCTTGTAAACACTATAAAAACAGCTAAATAAATTGTTCCAAGCCAGTAGGTCATCTGGTCTGACCCAGAGGGCAGAAGCTTCAGTGTCACACAGCAATTCTTTAATCAAGCCTTTCCTTTGTTTGAGCCATTGAGGCTGGTCTAGAAAATCCTCTGAACCCAAGTTAGCAGTGGACAACTGGCACACTGGCCTGATAGCTCCTTATCCTAACTCTAAAGCAGTGATGCCTCTGTTCTGGTTTAAATGTCTTGCTGTACTGCTTAGACCCTGGATCTTGTCATCCCTTCTGCTAGATTAAGAGCCAGCTGACTGTTGTCAGAAGCCTGCCTTGCCTTTACAGACAATTTTAGGGAGCTATGAATCAGTTTGCATCTTAAGTTTGAGCTTCTTTGGGACTGCTACCACTTAAATAATTTTTGTCACTTTTTCTGTTCCCTGCTTACATTTAATTCTTCCCAAATGATGCTGTGCAGACAAATATTCCCACCAGGGCTTTATGCAGCAGCCACCTCCCTCAACTCTATGCACCATTCAAGAAATGCTTGCTCCACAGGAATTTCACTATTCATATAACCAGGGAAAGAAGTGATTTGTGGCAAAAGAATCTTAGCCATGGTCAAGGGAATTCCCAACACACACTCTGGCCCAGATACCATTTTTAGCTCAGGAGAGGGATCCCCGAGAGGCTCTCAAGTTTAAAGGATCACATTCTGTGTCAGAAGCAAAGAATGATCTTACATTGTCACTTTCCACAAGGACATCCACTCCCACTTTAAGAATCTGTTCCTTCACTGTCTTGACTGGTATTTCTTTGAAGAAATGCCGTATATAACTAGAGTTGCTACCTCCTTACCCATCTATGTGTTACCTTTAGCTCAATA